GTTTTGGCTCTACCAGAACTTGTTTTAGACTCTAAACATTAAGAATGTAAGCCCAGAAATTAATGCTTGGGACTAATTAACATTTTCTTAAGCAGTATTTTGTCTTGTTTTCCTGAAAGAAATATATGGAATATCCGAAAACATCCAAACAATATATCATAATATATATATAATTTACTTTCATCCAGGAGCTAACTATAAACATGTCGATCATTTAACTAACTTTAACAACCTCACTCAAGATTTATTTCAAATTGTTGCTAAAACATGACAGTACTTGACCTGAATAAGAAACATGTAAGCAGAGTCATTTTACACTAACGCCCACTATAGAGAATGAAACATGCATTTGTGTTGCTTTATGAATTATGTTTCACAATGCAACCAAAATCAAACTTGCTTAGCTCACATAGCATTTGTACTCGCATACCTGTGTAAAATATGTTTTGGGTCCGAGTGTGCTTCCATTTAGATATTTCTGTGTCATGTTTTATATGTACAGTATATAGTAATCGAGTTTCTGCAAAGTGCGCATTTATGACTAGAAAGACATTTTGAGTAAAGCATACAACATTCTACTGAGGAACGAGGGCAGTGGTGTAGTGGAGGGTATACGCAGGTATACGGCATATACACACTTCTTTATCAGTCGGCTTTGTGTATACCCACTTCTAAATCCCCTCTGATGCACATCATTCATTAGTGTCCTGCTTTAGCCAAAATCATGACAGTCCACCATGACTAGCTAATCAAATCACATGTAAATAAATGCCAATATTCCATAAACACGCCCAGTAAAGACAATGATGTGGTCAGGATGCGCCGGCTTCCCTTTAAATTTGATTGATGATTGCGCCCGCCTCTCATCTCAAAAAATCACATGAATGCAACGTCTGTCTGGGGCGTGAGTGCATGTCAGGGGAGGCGCGAAGTGTGATAAAATAATATTTAATTATTGACTATTAATTTGAATCAGTACATTATAATGAAAACAATACCTTAAAAAGGAAAAGAAGCATGTTTTTGCGATCAGATTTTTTAAACCGGTAAACTCCTGTAAACTTTTCAGTCGAAGGATCCAGTAAACGAATGCCTTCAAACAGTAGCCTAAGTTCAAAACAACTACAGAGAAAACCCAACCGGTTTCATTAGAGATTGCTTAGAGTCACGTACAGAATGATTCTTTCAGCATGTTTTGGCTTAAAAGCACGAGTGTTTTATAATGGACGCTGCTGAAGCCTGAAGGTGTTTTTTAGATTCTGAATGGATCCGTATAGTAGCCTGTACAGTCAGGTCAAGGCAGTAGGTTTAGTGATCTTTTGGCGTCTCCTTGTGGTCCTGTTTGATATCGCAGCTTGACTAGTACTTAATTGTATTAAAAATGCTCTAAACAATTTTATTATACTTTTTTTTGCACTATATAATATAGCCTATACATAAATTGTAAAAGGTATGGAGGGAGTAGGGGGGTTACTATTTGCCTGTCACTGTATGCCATGGGAGACAGTCAGTAAAACATAGGAGTAGAGATGCACAATTCTGGATAAAATAACACAGGCCATTAAAAAAATGGGGGCATAAATGAAGAGTATACCCATTTCTCCAGGCACCACTACACCACTGAACGAGGGGTGAGATTTTATATTTCTATATAATACATCAATCTTGTTGCCTATTTCTAGATGCTCCATTAGAAAGAGCGCTTTCAAACAATGCATAAAAACTATAAAAAGATGTATAAAAACACTTTTCGAATAGCCAACACTGTTATATTTTTCAACAACAGGGGGCAATGTAGGTCAATAGCAGAACGGGTGCCCCCCCTCCTCAGGCCCTCCTCCTAAAAATACCCAGACAAACATTCCCCTCATTAATGTTGGCTTCAGAACATTCTGAAGTGCTTTCAAGCAATTTGTGCGTCATATTAATCTAATGCACCGTCTCTGGTGATTGGCGCCAAGTTAAAGAGATCGCTCTGGCTTTCCATCAACAGCCGCGCTTTTATTCAACTTCCAAAAAAAGAGAGAGAGAAAAAAGAAAAGTTGAAAATGAAGATGGCTCCACTCAGAAAATGGAAAAAGATCAAACACGAGGCAGTGGGAGAAAAGACAGATAAAAGATGTTCGGCTTGTATTGACAAGAGCGTCTGAAAGAAAATTAATGTTTCTCGCTTTCATCGCGTGTTTATGTCACACCCCTCCATCCCACTCCAGAAACGAGGACAAGGCCGCATCGGATATATTTCCAACAACATGTACTACTGAATGATAAGCTGTTTGTCAGATTTAGGAGTTAGATGTACCTTTTTAAAAAACGCATCTGTCTTTTGGCACGATGTTGTCAGCAATATTACCCCTCCAATTTGCGCTCAGATGCCCCCCCCCCCTGCTCTGACTAAAATCCAATTTACTGGCTGTCAGCTCAACCCAGTAATCCTCTGCACAGCTGTGTTTGTGGAAAGAGCCTCTTAATTTGCTCATCCTCCACATTTCTAAATGTACCATTGCCATATCTGAAGCGAAACGTTAGCTTAATGTGGTTTGTTGCCTGTTTATGAAGGCGCAATGAATGCCTATTGGAGACCCTTTCAGGTTCTGCTCAGCTGAGGAGGTGAGTAAACAGTAGAACATGGGAAATGCTAGTGGAGTTAACAAGCTTGCTGCTATGCTAGTTCATTGCTAGGTGGTTGCTATGGTGGTCTGGGTGTTTGCTGGATGGCTACTTACTAGCCCAGGTTGAAGAGCCACAAAAAAAAAATGGTCTATGATATTTTTGTAATGTTTTGAACACAGTTGCGTGATTTTTTTTATTTTTTTTTCAAACCACTTGAGTGCAAATCCCGCCCCACAAGCGATTTCATTGGTCAACTCAATCATGCATTAACCTGTTAGGTACAGTACAGACATAATCAATTTAGAGTTCAGAAATATCATAGATGGATCCGATCATAACAAATAGTTAAGGCCCGTTCACACCAAGAACGATAACTATAAAGATAACTATATTAGCGTCCACGTGTGTTTATTCTGAACGCACGCTCATCTGCCACTTTAAATTCTCAAGCTAGTTATAGCAGGATTGATTCTGATTGGCTGTCAACGTTTTTATCATTCATCAGCTGGAAAAATTAGTTCTGAAAGTGATTCTAACTATATTGTTTTTCTGTGCCTTTATCGTTATATCTGCGGTGTGGACTCTGCTATTCTATAATATTGAGAACGATTTTTAGAACTATATCTTTATCATTTTAGTTATTGTCCTTGGTGTGAATAGGCCTTAATGCTAACTATAAGCCTACTAACATAAAGGTTCTACGTTAGGGTTAGGGTTTAGCATATGTTTCAGCATTATGTAGGTAATATGCACTGTGATTGACACGACCAATCATTTTTTTCTTTTGTTAAATAACGTGACAGTTGCCTTTGTAAATGCAATTTTATCGGCCACCAGGTGAAAACTGAAACGCAATTGCTTTGAAAAGACAAATCTAACCTCTACTGAACAAGCTGCACAAGTTGAGGTAGGGTATCATTTGTTAAACTTCGTGCTAGTATTTAACACTTAGCATTAGTCGTTTATTCATAGTAAATATACAAACCTTGCAGAAAATCACGTATTGGGGGAAAAGATGCTCGGAGTATCTTTAAAAGGCCCACTCATTTTTTATTTTTTCTGGTTATGTAGACAGTGTCATTCCTGCATTATACTGACGCCTAGTGGTGTGGAAGCATTACACAAAACGTTGCAACTGTAAAAATGTTTTTGTCAGTGTTTCTATTGTTAACTAAAACTATTACAAATTTTGCTATTAAATATTTTTCTGTATTTGAAATAAAGAGGAAATAAACTGAAATAAGTTTACGTTGAAGTACTACAATTGCTAACACTTAAAGCTAGAAATGAAAAAAAAACTAATAAAAATGAAAAGGCACACAAAATCACTATTAAATTATTCAAATTAAAGTTAACTCAAAATATTAATAAATACTGTAACAGCACATAAATAATACTCAAAATAATAATAATACATAAAAAACACTGGTATATACAGACATGATTAATGTATTCAATAATCAATAGTGTTCAATAATAATCGATTTAGGATTGCATTATAGTGGCTGGTCATGTAATCTTAATTTGGTGGCTCTCATGAGGTGACAAGCACCACGTAAAATAAAACAGCTTCATTATATGCACATATAACTCACATACTTCGCCACATGCTGCATGCAATATAAAGCAGTTGGTTTCGGCATGTGTGGGTTGTGGCTCGGGCTGGAACAGTGAATTATAGAAACGGTGTCATTGCCACCGAGCACACACTGCACCATCTCTGACACTGGAGATAAAAGTCACTGCCAACCTGTGGGAGCCACAGCAACCACCCTGCCTGCCTTCCCGCACGCCGCTCTCGGACCATTTGCATTTCCTGCGGACGCTCTGCATCTCATGAATGCTAATGAGGGCATATTTTTCCTGCGTACTAGCCCGGCAGTTACTGCGGGATTGTCCGTATACGCACATCTTCCGCTGTCCCCCGCACGTCTACTGATATGAAAATGAGTGTGAATGATAAGCCTCCAGGGGCCAGGTGGACTCCAACAATTAATCCTGGCATTTACGAGAAATATTCACCTATGCCTATTAGTACATGAATATATGTATATCTATCTACTCCATATGGAGGAACTAACTAGAAACTAACTGTTTTGTAGTATCTCTCCCCAAAACTGAACCAAGATGTCCCTCATGAATGAATATTAGGTACCGACTGAACCTCTCGACTGCCTTTCAACCTCCCCTGTACCGAAGCATCCGATGCAAGCTATTAATAACCAGGTGAAGATTTTCCTATGGAATATTCTGAGTCACTCTGGGCACGTGAGCGAGGGTGTGTGGGCATGCAGGGATGGGGAGGGCATGTGGGCGGCAATGAGATCATCAAAACGTGTCGAGCCCAGAGTCGCCCTAGTGCCCCAGCGGGGAGGAAGGGTACTCACCGCGTGCGCGTAGGTGCTGTAGGTGCTGAAGGGCAGGGAGATGGCAGGGTTGAAGATGCCAAACTGGCCCACCATCTGCTGCATGCGGCGGATGGTGCGCTCCTTGTCCGTGTCGGCAAACTTGACCACCAGGCTGGACGACGCGCCCTGAGGGAGGAGAGAATCGGAGCCAGTCTGAGGAGAGAGGGCAGGCTGCATTTAACCTCCCGCTTTGCAAGCGAGACTGTCAACCACCACAGGAAACACAATACAAAATGTACATGATTTAAACGTTTGAGCTCTTCGATGCCGGGTGGATTATGATTGTCAATGTTTTTAGCATTTAAAATTGTTCTGAAAATGATTCCAACAATTTAATTTATTATTGTTATAGTTGTGGTGTGGACATTACTATTCTCATAAAATTTGAAAGATTATCAAAACTTTATTATAGTCATTGTCCTTAGTGTAAACAGCCCTGAAAGAACTGCCATGTTCTTTCAAACCTGTAAGACTCCATGGAACACAAACTAACACAAATGAATATCCCTAATGACCCAAAAAGGCACCAAATAACCATCAAATATAAATAAATTGATAGACAGACAGACAAATAAATAAATAGAAAATACATACAAACTGGTTAATACAACTTGCATGCTATATTTCAAGGTTTTCTGAAGCCATTTGATAACTTTGTGTAAGGAACAGACGAGAGTAGAGATGCTTGAACAAGTCATTCTTTTGTGAAGGATTCCTTCTTTTGACTTCAATCTTTTCATGGAATCCAGTTCACAAAACCAGCCTGAAAGATTCATTCATCAGTTGGACTGATCCAATTCTCAAGTTCAACTCACTGATTCAATGATCTGGTTGTAGCTCACTGGAGATGGTTTTTAGATATTTTCACTCAATAATGACTTTTTAATGACTACATTTTGGACTGTCAAATCACATCATATATACCATATAACTTGAAATATGAGTCGAATGAATTACATTTATGATGCTTTTGTAGACTTTTTAAAGTTCCAGTTCCCTTTCATTGTATGCAAAAGAACATTTCAGACTCTCCTTAATTGTGTTTAACAGAAGACAGTATGCCACCCAGGTTTGGAACAACATGAGAGTGAATAAAATGACTGAATTGTTATTTTGGCGTGAACTGTCCCTTTAAGAAAGATCAAAACCTTAAAGTGCTCCTATAATGCCATTTTGAATATTGCCTTTCATGCATTGTGTAATGTACCAGTATGTGAATGTAAACAATCTGCAAAGTTGTAAAGCCAAAATTTCACGATAAATTAAGTTATTGTCGCTCAAAAGAAAGAACTGACTCTGAACAGCCTAAATGAGTCGTCAGTAATTCGAATCCCCTCACTGACGACTGCTTCTCTAATCTCAGGGAGTTCAATCTGTGATTCACAAAACGCTTGATCTTGAAAGATGGATCAGTTCCCCGTTTATTTGGACCAGCTGGCTCCACTGAATCACAACCTGTAAGATAAATAATAGATGTTTATATTTTTTATTGAGCGTTCAAAATACGTAACTATGGTAATTGGCATATTGTTTCCAACATACGCTGTACGTGGTAGACCAATCACAACAGACTGGGCCATCTGACCAATCAGAGAAGAGTAGGCTCATGGAAAGGAGGGATTTAGAGAAACTGAATCTTAGAACTGCTTTGAATGAATCGTTTGAGAATTGCTGGGAAATTAGGTGATATTAAATGCATATTTTGAGGAAACGGAAGCATTTTTTGACCTCGCATGCGTGTAAACCTATTGTAGGAGACTCCCAAAACAATATTAGAAACCTAAAAAAAATTGCATAATAGGGGCACTTTAAAGGGGTTTAAACTTTAAAAAAGTTTAAATTTTTTAATTTTAGTCAGTGTGTAGTGTGTATGTTTGGGCATAAAAAAGATCTTCAAACTTACAAATCTCAAAGTCCACTCCAAAGGGAGATTTAAAAAAAAATTTTTTTATCCCGTTTCAAGAACTACAACGAACGGCTCGTTTGGACTACAGCGTTTGTTTTCCGGGTTTTGTGATATCACAAAGCAGTGCATTTGAATATCATTAAAATAATTCCCGCCTACGGAAATTCGAATGGTTGGGGGGTGGGGAGGGGCGAGGTCGTGGTTCGAACGCTTGGTTGAGTGCATCAGACAAGACGACGACGAAGAAGTGGTGCTACTATAGCCTCAAGTTTTCGCAAGTTATTACGCATGCACCTGAATAATTATGTATGTAAATATGTATGTTACAATTATGAAAATGTTTTTATAATAAATTGCTGACAGTACAATACTGGACAATGGTGTAATCTGCAGAATTTACAATTATGAGACTACAGTGTTTCCCATACATTGAGTGCAGGTGTTTTCATATCACTGTATTTCTGAAGAAAACCGACTGTTTTCAGAAAATTGGATGTCATTTTCATTTAATCTTGCATGTAATGTCTGATAAAGCAGTGTTTTTTTGAGCGGAGCGCTGCTTTGTGTGCAGCCGTTACCGGGGAAACCTTGATCTCTACCACTCCAACATTGCCTCCTGATGCCAGAAAATGAGTTTGCATATATATGCCGCCTGGGAAACACTGGATTCAATGTTCAACTGTATAACCGTTTCACTGCAATTCACTAAACAATCACATCACATTTTGTTTTTCGGAAGGCGGGCCTTCATCAAACCTGGAACTAATTGAGCAGTTTGTGCCAGGCTGGGGAGAAAGGTATTATAATAATGTAAATTATGTAAAACAAATTATGGAGCATCACCAAGCATGAGAGCATGTTCTAGTACACCCCCAAAACAAATTCAAAACATTGTAAAAGAGCATAATAGGACCCCTTTAAGTTCCTATGTGAATGGCATATGTGAATCTACCATGACTTTTTCACTCCAACTTTGCACCAAACACAAGGTGGTTGGATGCATCTTAAAAATAACAACAAAACTTTTTCCTCAAGAAGAAGAAGAAAATACAGAAAGTATTATGAGTAACTACAAACTCTCAACATCAAACCTCAGGCAATCAAACAAATGCATCTACAAAACTGCTAGTGGCATCAGTAGATTGACATGAGCCTCGGCAGCTTGACCATTACGCAACGAAATCTATTTCAGATTTCGCTACTTGATAGGTTATGATATTGCACCCGAAATATCAAACGGATTAAATGAAGAACGTGGGTTTGAGATTGACAAGGCCACCAATGATCATGGTCTGGCCTTGGATGTGTGGGTTTCTAAGTCTGGCTCACTCATTCTCTCCCATACCGTGGTAATCAAACACCTGCCGCGAGAGCCGTGCTCACATTCATTATGAATCTCTCAGTGATTCGATGCTACACTTGACCTTTATCAGCCTACAACATCCCCTGTTCCAGCACTATACTGTCCGAATAAAAAAGAAGAAAAAAAAAACTACAGAATCGATTTCGGCAAAAAGGCCAAAATATGACTGTGATCTGATGGTAGAGAAAGGTTGTGCATCAGCCAAGATAAGAGGCTAGCTGAAATTGACGTGAAAATGTCGATAAGCACCCACAATACGGGGGGAATATCAGGTGAGGCCACAAGCCAAGTCTGCAGAGTGGAAAGGGGACTGTGTTTTAGGTCCACAACTGGTGGGTCTTGTCCCAAAATGGGTTGTAGGTCTACATCTAAGCAGGGGGAAAAAACAATGCTAAATGGCAACATAAAGCAACTAATCATATATTTGTGCATAATTTGGGCAGAACACAATGTGCTTTGTGCAATGAATTATTCACTTCAAGAGGCATTTAGTCACTGAACATATAGCAATAAACACATTATAAGGTTTGATTTTTATGGGGATTACATTTGTGTCAATAAAAATGAACGTAACTTTATAAAATTGACCGTAACTTTTCCAGAAACAATCAAAAATATGCCTTTACGAAAGAAGAAAAACACTATGTAAATTTATGATGCAAAAATGTAAAATGCTCTTCAAATATATTTAATTCTTTGTTAACAATTTTCAAAGACTTGTTTTTGCAAATCGTGGATTTTGAATGCGTTGCCACAGATTTCGCTTACATTTTGCAAATTTTCATTCACTATTTTGACACAAACCTCTCGTGAGGGCGGGCTAAACAGCAGCCTACTCTGATTGGCTAGTGAGATTTTTGATGGACAACGCGAATATTGGAAAGCTGTTGCGCCGTGTTATCTAATTTTTACAAACAAAACCAGTAAGTCTGATTCATATTAAATATTTTTTTCATGTTTTAACCAATAAATATCTCTCGTCTTAAATTTATATGCATTTATTTTCAACACATCTGTACCACATTTAAAAAAGAATCCACCTATATTTTTTCCTTCCCAAACAATAGCAATAATTTTGTAATATATTTTTTTTAATTTGCGAAGTGTAAGCGATATCTGTGGCAACGCATTCAAAATCCACGATTTGCGAAAATGAATCTTTGAAATTTGTTAACAAACAATTAAGTATATTTGAAGAGCATGTTTAATTTTTTTGCGACTAACTTCTTTTTTTTCATTTTCAGTGTTTTTCTTCTATCGTAATGGCATATTTTTGATAGTTTCTGGAAAAGTTACGTTCCTTTTTATTGACACAAATGTAATTCCAGATTTTCAGGACATTTTTATTTAAAAGAATGTATTTATTTATTTTTAATTAATGACTGAACTATAAGTCAGTGTGATTATAATATATGTAAAAAAAAAAAGAAATCACATATTTAAAAAAAAAATAATTAATTTCACAATGAAGTCACTTTCAGAATGAAAAACATTGGGTCAAAATAGATCCCATGCATGCCTCCCATGAAGCAGTTTATATACTGCTATAGTATTTATTACTATATTTAATGTTTTTAGTTTTCATTAAAATTTTGTTTAAAGTTCTAGTAATTTTATTTTGCTTTTGTAATTTTTATTAATTGTTTATATATATATATATATATATATATATATATATACAGATAGCTTTCTACTTTATACTGCAAGTATACTGATACATAATTTTCTCAAATACTTTTTACTTTAAATCAAATGTTCTAATTTACATCTGAACAGGTTGATACCAATTAAAACTCTTTATCAAAGAATGTTTCAAAAAGCCTATGGTGAATGAAAAAAATAAATAAAAAAATAAAATAAAATCCGGAACCAAGGCTGTTGAAA